CAGCCCTGGAGCAGATCCATCTCCAGCACAGAGCCAGTGCTCCCAGTGCCTGGATCCCACCCCTGGCTGCCTTGTGCCCTCCTTTAGCTCACAGTAAATCTGAAACCACACAGGGCAAGCCAGTGTTGCCTCAAGATCTAAGGATTTATAACTCTCATCTTGGGCCCAGAAAAACCTCCCTGGAGCACAGGAATACCAAAGGGCTGGTTCTGAGAGCAGCACCAGCAAGGAGAGAGCACCACCCCAGCCCTCCACACAGGCAATGGTCAGGTTTGGCTCCTGCAGCTCCCCAGGGCGACCCTGCCTTTACCCACAGCCTTGCACGGGCACAAACCCACCTTGGTGACCAGGTCCGAGTGCCTTATGATGGCCCTGACGAAGAACCTGTAGTCTGTGACCTCTGTGCCCACCTCCACCTTGGCAGCCCCCAGGTAGAGGTGCATCTTGTGGTTGGCACAGGGGATGGCCGTCAGGTCGAAGTTCCTCATGCGGTTCAGCTCCAGCTGGAAGGCCAGGGCAGGCTCCAGGTGCCGGTAGATCCTGTCCTCCTCAAACTACAGGGACACAGCACAGGGGGGAAAGAGGGCATTGGAGAGGTGGAACACTCAGGGAAGAACCCCACAACGCCCCTTATGAAATTTCATATTTAACTCAAACTCTAAAATTTGAAACAAATCCAACCCAGACTCTTCCATCTCACTGGGAGCTGTGAAATTGTTGAATAACACAAATTGCAGGGCAGCAAGTTCTCAAGCCCACCCCCCTCAAAAAACCTTCTTTTCCAAAGAAACCAGAAGGTTTTGTCCTGATTCTTTTCCACAGAAACCAGAAGGTTTTGTCCTGATTCTGAGCAGTGAATCACTGCATGCAACTCCAAGCCAACACTTGGAGACAAGTATTAAGAATATCCAACTCACCTTATCCCGGGCACGGAAGGTGAAGAACTTGGGGAACTCCCTCTGTTTGAAAATGAAAAGAGCAGTGTTAGTGCCCCCAAAGCAAGCACTGATGTGCCCAGAGTGCTCCCAGGCCACTCCTGGGGCAGCAGCACAGCACAGCAGGTGACACAAACTGTTCCCAGCCACTTCCCAACACCACAAAGGGGGTGGAAAACCAAATCACCTTCAGGACAGCAGAGGCAGCTCAAACCTGCCCTCACTAATGCAGAAGAGGCTAATTGATTGGCTTTAGATTATTATTGTCAGTTATTAACAATAACAAAGAAGTGTCCAGACAGTAGAGGGAAACTTTTTCTAGATCTGCTATGATTAAAATTTCAGTGGAAATGTCTGGAGTGATATGAACACTCTGTTATGGATGCAGATGCACACACAACAATGATCTTATTCTACAGCTCTCTCCATACCATTACTGCCAGAAATACTCTCTTCCCGAGGAAAACTGGGACTTGCAATGAAATCACTTTATTCTCCTGTATGGAGAGGCAAAAAATTACAGAAATCCCCCATCTACCACTGAGTTTCTCTGGTTTTCTGTTGCACAGATAAAACCCTGGCAGAGCCTTGAGAGTTTTTTGCAATATGGTACAAATCTGAGATGAAGAGAGGAAGCCTGGACAGCATCCTGGGCCTCCAGCTCCACCCAGGCAGATGCATCCCCTCCTCTGGAATTGGAGTTTTACTGGGCAGGGCTTTGGTCAGTGCTTGCCCCACGTGGGAGCTCTGCTGCTCAGGGTGACCTGAGGGGCACACACAGCTCACCAGGACTGGCTCACTAAGCAAAAACCAGGAATCTGACCTGGAGCCTCTGAATCTCTGGCTCCCATTCCGTTATCCATGAAAGATGAACAGCCCCAGCTGGAGGGAGTGAGACAAGCAGTGACACTGCACCAGCCACCACTGATTTTAGCACAGATTTTAAGGCTAAAAGGATGATTCCAGTCAGTCATCTTCCTTCCCTCCCAGGTGAAACAGCCCCCAAACAACTTGTGTTTGCCTGGAAACCCTTCCAAAATAAGCAGTGGTACAAGAAATGCTGCCTAAAAATCCAGGCTCACTCAATACATCAATTGTCTGTGAGTTTCATCGAAGAGAAAACCTCTTCCACATTTCCTGGCTTCTCCCCATCCCTCCTACCTGTCCCCCCCTGCATGCTGCCAGCTTCTCCCACCATCTCCAGGCTCATTCCACCACTAATGGAATTGCTTCCAGGGCACCTCACTGGTGTGCTGGGCAAATATCATAATTAGATGTGCACACACACAAAAATCCTCAGTGCCCTGCTACCAAAATCCAAAAGAGTGCTCCATTTCCTAGGCAGAAGAATTATACCCCTGCTGTGTTCTAATCAACCAACCATCATCAAGACAATCAAAATAATTTGCCTAAATTAGCCAATCAAGACACCCTGCAAACTGCAGAATGCGAGGAGCTGCACCAGAAATCATCAGAGTTGATTATTATACTAATAATCACGTTAAAAACCTAATGAGATGAGGAAATTGGAAGCTTGCTGGAGCAACTCTCTATTACCTCAACATGCTGGGAACTAATTATATAGACTGTAATTAAAACAAAAACAAACCCGAGCCCAGGCCTGGCTAAGTTAATGGTTGGTCCAGTAATGAGGGACAGCAGACAGGGACAGACGGACAGAGCAGCTCCACGAGCTCTGCAGCCAGGTGAGCCCACACTGAGGGTGCAGGCAGAGCTTGGGATGGTTCTCTCTATTCTGTGCCTCCTTTCTGACCTCTGGCACATCCCACAGCACTTACTCAGCAACTCCCATTTTTCAGCGCCCATTCCATTCTCCAAAACTTCCTTTTTCACACCTAAAGCCCAGATTTTCTTGCTAAATGTCCCAAAAGACTCTCCACAAAACCCAGTTTCCTAAGCTGCTGACTGACACCTCTGTACCTGTGCTGTGAGCAGCAATTCCCATGTGGTGACAGGTTCAAGCACTATTTCTGCTGATTTATAAACCAGATTTCCCTTCACAAACCTTCCCAGACCAGCTGTGTTGAGCACAGGGGGACTTTCTTGCACTTCAAAGGCTCCTGACAACTTCCAGAATTGAAAAG